CTCCCTCAGCGCTGACCTTCCGACAGTGTGGCGCTCCCTCAGCGCTGACCCTCCGACAGTGCGGCGCTCCCTCAGCGCTGACCCTCCGACAGTGCGGCGCACATTCAGCGCTGACCCTCCGACAGTGCGGCGCTCCCTCAGCGCTGACCCTCCGACAGTGCGGCGCTCCCTCAGCGCTGACCCTCCGACAGCGCGGCGCTCCCTCAGCGCTGACCCTCCGACAGTGCCCACTCCCTCAGCGCTGACGCTCCGACAGTGCGGCGCTCCCTCAGCGCTGACCCTCCGACAGCGCGGCACTCCCTCAGCGCTGACCCTCCGACAGCGCGGAGCTCCTCCAGTCCTGTTGTTGTTGATGGATTGACTGCCTTGGGAGCTGTCCTCTGGTAAAAGCCTGGGCAGGCGGGGAGGCTTGTTGAAGTAAACACTTGAACTATCTTTATTTTACAACAATTCATTTGTGTGTCAACCAGTTAGAACAGCAACAGAAAATGACCAAAATTTCATTTGTAACATTGTGAACTGCAGGTTTTAAGGAAAAACAAGAGAGTCGAGCAGCAGAAGGGGAGAGAAACTTGGGAAGAAGGGAAGGAGAGAAGATGAGGTAACAATTCTGGACAAGGCATTGCTTTCAGTGAAGTGGCAAACTGAGCACAGCGAAGCTGTTAGCACTCAGCTTCTGGTTGAGAGATGAATCTCTTTTGAGCGTTCTTTCCTCCCTGCCTGCCTGCCCAGGACGAGCTCGGTAGTTTAGAGGAGAAGACACTCTCGATCGTGCAGGCTGCTCAGGTGCTGAACGTGTGAAGGCAGTGACCATGGAGTCTGGATCAACCCCACTTTAATTCAGGCACAGCACTGGAGAGGGGGAAGGATTATTGAAAGGTCAGGGATCAGGCGTCGCATGGAGGAAAGCAGCTACAAAGGATCGGCAGCAGACAAGCAGGTCGTTCGGCCCATCAAGTCACTACCTGGATTTATTGTCCACTCAACTTCCATTCAATTCTAACAGTAGGTTTTGACAGCACATACAGGATCCTATCATCTCTCTTCACTAACATTTCATTCTATCCCTTTCTCCTTCATTTAGTTATCTAGGTTCCCCCTTCCAATGGATCAATGTTATTCATCTTGATCACTCCAAGGGACCCAGTTCCAACTTATAGATCACAGAATCTCACCCAGACCCATCCCCCTATAACCCACCTAATCTACTCATCCCTGAACACTACGGGCAATTTAGCATGGCCAATCCACCCTAGTCTGCACATCTTTGGACTGTGGGAGTTCTCCCTATCCTCGGGGGGAAGAAAATTTCTCCTGAATTCCCAATTGCATTCATTTCTGACTGTCTTCCTTTGACAGTCTACAGTTCTCACGTCTCTCCCACTCACCCACAAACACCAAAGGGGGAAACATGGCCTCTTCTTCAACCCTCTGTAATTTATGAAGGTCACTCTGTCAGCTTGTAACACCCTTCGCATTCCTGTTGCAACTTCTCACCATCTTCCCCTTGCCAGCCTTGCTTCTCCAAGAGTTGATGTCACAGGTTTTGGGGGAGGAGGGAAGTGTGAGGCGGTTGTGCTCATGCTGGAAACGGTAACCCCCAGGGCCTGACCCGCGCCCCCAGCGCCTGACTCGCGCCCCCAGGGCCTGACCCGCGCCCCCAGGGCCTGACCCGTACCACCAACGCCTGACCCCTACCTCGTCCCAATCACATCAGTGGGCGACGTTGGCAGTGTTTGACCCTGACTGCAAACCAGGGGCAACACCCATGTCCGCGGCCCCGAAAACTAGGAAGCAGAGAGGAGCATTGCACTAGGACCAATTTCTCCCCAACTACCTTCCCCAAAACCCCCCCTTTGAACCAGGCCACCCCAGTCACCAGAGGAATTTCCTTTGATCACCGCTCACCGTTTAACGCTTCCTGGGCGAAGTATTTCACATCGATATCCTGGTCCCTGCTCAGTTTTTCGAGCACCGGCTTCACTTCGTTATGCAACGGGCTGAAGGCACAGAAAGAGAAGGAAGGAAGAAGGTGGCAAAATGAAAACAGGAAGAGAAACAGTTACTCAGTGAACTTCCTTACTGTTGCAGGACGCTCTGTTTTACAGGGCCACTGCTTCCCAACACTTACCAGCTCGCACACAGGATGAACACCAAACTCACTGAGTGCAAAATTATTTGCATTTCTCTGTCACTTTACACCAATCTGTGACAGCCCAAAGTCCTAATAAAGGACTTTTTTCTTGAAATCTGGTCACTGTTGTGATGACAAAGAAAACATGGCAGCAAATTTTCTGACAACATGGCCCCACAAAGAGCAGAGTGATAATGGCCAAAATCATCCGATTTTAGAGTGATATTGATCGAGGGATGTATAACAGCCCCAGGTCATTGGGTAGAACTCCTTCCCCCTATGTTGTTCTTTCTTATTGAGCTTTCATATCCACTTACAGAGGACAGACTGGGTCTCAGCTTTATCTCACTCAAAAGCTCCTGTCGGTATAGTGCAAGTTAAGCTACAGACTGGTGACAAACGATTACTGAGCAAATGTAAATGGAGAATGGACTATGCTGGGTGTGTAATGAGTAGACATCACTCTTGTGGTGCGGTCTTCGTGTCTCTATGCCCAGATTAGGACGCCTGGCTTCAAGTCCCACCTGCTCCAGAGATGTGTCATAACATCACTGAACAGGTCGATCAGAAAAAATATCTGGATTCATTGCCTATTCCTCCAAGCAAATCAATCTGTAAAATAATAAGCTGCCCTGAGTGCTATTTCACCAACAAGCCTGGATCTGAATTTACACCGGTTGCCTAAAGGTGAACATCGGCAACTGAGAGTTTTTTCTTTCAGAAAGAAGGTTGTAATTTGAGTTCCTTTTCGACAAAAATTGCTGAAACCAAGTGTAAAGTGTCAGGATGTGATTTCCCAAGGAAACATGGGGTGGTCTTGACATTGTTACTTCCTACGAGGAACAAGGTCAGGTATAAAATATTCTCAGAGCTGGAGAAGGTTGGGCACTGAGGAATGTATGAAAAGTGTACACGGGTTTTTGGACAAAACTTATAACAAAGAATAGACAGAATTTACACCGAAGATAACTTTTTAAGAGCAAATGAGGCATGGTCAGACTTTGTTAAATTTAGAAAGAAGGATGGATATTCAATAGAATGTAACAGACCATGTGCAAGATAGCTGAAATTTCACTTAGAGATTCCTGACTCACCTTTCAATTTTTGGACTGTTAAGGTTTCGAACATAGATCGACTCCTAGTATGAACTGGAGTGCGGTTTTCACAAGGTAGCACTGCTTTTTGGAACAGATGCTGGAAGCCCTCAAAAGATTTCTGGGAAGATTCATTTCCAGGAGTCTTCACAGCTCAAGTGGGACAATTAGAAGCAGCACAGGAGTTGGGTGATTCAAAGGCAGTGGCGATGCAAGAACCCCCAGATATCGGCATGTATACGAGAGGACAACCAGAACAAGGGAGTGAGGATGGAAGTGTAACTGGATGTACCTTTGGCAGCGATAATAAACGACAGGAATTGGGAACCACAGCAGAAGAATGAACCCCAAGGATGTCTGAAAAGTGGTCAACAGCTCTCTAAAATGCCAAAATACCATTGTGCAATAAGTTGTCCGAAACGGAATTGAAAGATTTCTGAAATTACGTCAGGAACGGAAGATCTTGGAAGCAGAAAATGGGAGTCCATTGTTTAAGATGTGATGTAGACAGTTTAAATAATTTAAGAGGTCTGCTTCAGGTTCAGCATTGGAAACATACTGAAGTTACTCAGAGGAATGGGAGTTCCATGTAAACTGGTAGGGGTAAACCACTTTTTAAATCAGCTCAGACATAGGATCAAGTGAAATTCTCATTCTGTCGAGCAGGCTGTCTATGAAAAAGACTCTAATGAAACTGGGCGCAGAGCATGTCAAGGCAGTTGTTTTTGGGAGATCTGTGGATTTATAGTTTACATTATCTGAACATTATTGTATTCCGTTAACAAAATCTAACTTCTCTAATCAAAATATTAGGCGGGTGTCATTGGCACCAGGAGAAGTTTGAATGAGAAAATGGCAAACATTCTTAAAATTTTATTGGCAGATTGTCCATCCATTTTCTCACAGGTTAAAAATCCTACTAAAGGATGCAGGAGGCAGTGTCAATGAGTACAGTACATGTACAAAAGAGGACAATTATAAATGTGACTGCTGTAAAAAAAATATAGAACTACACCATCACCATACACTGTGAGTCTCCGATAGTTACAGCAATAGTTTTGACAGTGATGGAGCAAAGAGAAAAAATGTTTTTTGCACTCATAGACCTGGCATTTAGATTTAGCCAGACACAATAATACAGTTAAGAGGGTAATTGTGGTCAAGGAAATGGAGAAATGGACAGGCATTGGACTGATGGCACTGGCTAAATTCCTAACAGACACTGTAGGGGAAATTGCCAATGATGAATTTGGGGATATGCCAAAATATGAACATAGTGGCATTGAATGTGGCGAGGAAAGGACTCTTTAGTCATTGTGTGAAAGAAAACATGTGGTGATAGGTGAGATGCCTCGTAAAATATTAATCAAGTTGTAAATTAAGATCTGCCCTGGTATGGGCAGTCCATGCAAAAATTTCACTGCAAATATTTAGGAGCTACAGTCCTGGCTTTAGGGAGAAATCCAATAATTTCTTCAGGAATGAGTGATCCTTCCCTGATGTGGAAAGGGAATACAATTAGCTCCATTCTCTCAGACCACCTCAGGCTGAAGCCTCTGAGAATATCTGCCGAGCTTTACAGCATTGTGTAAAGCTATCAGAGAGAAAGTTGAATCAAGGGACTTGGTATATTACGAAAGAGAAGGGCAAAAAGAGGGCAAGAGTCTGTGTCAGATTATAAGTATAAGTAAGATTATAAGTAATTTAATAGCGTGCCAACCACGGGTAGGGAAACAAATCTGGGTGCTGCTTCTGGCCAACGGTCCATCATACTATCATTCTCCGAACATTCAATGTGAACACCACAGTCTGACCTCAGCAGGGGAGCTTTGCCTTACTGACCCCACAGCAGTGACCCTGATCCCTGACCCTATGGCAGTGGCCCTGACCCCAGCAAAGTGACCTCCCCTTGAGCATAGCAGCCTTGCCCCCTCCGCCCCTCCTGGCAGCAGCACAGTGGCCCAGCCCTACCCCAGCCAGAGTACAGTTGCCCCATCTTCTGCCCCAGGAACAGCTCCCCCACACACCTCCTTCCAACCTTAAAGACCAGAAGATGCAGTGCAAGTTCTCAAAAGTGGACCAAGAAATGAACACGATCCTGGGAAAAGATCGGGAACTGGCAAAAGGAATTCTGCACATGGAGCAGTTGTCCAGAGCATGACAGGAGTAGAAGTTGTACATTGACAAGGACTATGAGAAAGACTGGGAACATTGTGAGTGGTAGAAACCATTATGATCGAGATGTTTTTAGTGAGTACAAACAAAGTGAAAGGTAAATTCACAGAAGAAGCCAAATAAATAAAATTGGATAGCTAGAAAGAATCTGAGCTTGCAGACAGAGGAATGCTAGCCTTTTCATACGGGTGTATCAACAGAGCTTTTCCCGATGGGATATATATACGGCTAAATCCAGACTCGTGCCTTAAGGCCTTGAAGAGAAATTCTGTGATCAAGATAATCAAAAGTGGATACCACTTTTGCAGGAAAAATAAACGCGAAGATCTCCTTCATTCTTTTAGCCACATACTCTGGGGAATGTAAGTTAATCAATATAAAAGCTCTGTTTCTGCAGTTTCAAAGAAGCAGGGTGATTTACACACAAAACTACAAACATTAACAAGCATTTTCATGAGTTTTAACGACACAGTGAGGGTTTGGTATTCTTAATGAGGTCTTTCTGAAAGTAGGTCGCATTCAGTTTAACACAGACAAAGCAATATCCTACTGGCGTCGCAAATCATCTTTATGCACGTCGATGATTTTCTGTGGGAAGATTCTGTGACATTTGAATGCTGTGCGATAGATAAAATAAAAAGGAAATTTCAGATTGGAAGTGAGACTTTTAAGTATATCAGTATAGATATTAAACAGAATAAATCAGGAATGATTTTGGATCAACAGATCATCTGGTGAGGGGGCAATGTGCCAGGTGGGCAAGGGTAATGGTCTACTGTGCTAGGTGGGTGATGGTCCAGGGTGCTAGTTAAGTTCTTAGGGAAAGTTGGAGGCATTGGGTGGAAAATGATGTCAGATCAGGGTGGGAATCGAGCTGCAGGAGGTGCACGCCTGGTCTGGTCTGGTCAGGTCTGGTCAACTGTAAAAAAAAATTGATTTCACTAATACCCTGCAGGGGCTAACAATCTGTACTGATGACTTGGTCACGCTGACAAAGAGACTCTATTGTACAGTCACTGAACACGTGTGGCTAGCTGCAAAGTAAACGCGCGAAAGCAAAGTAAACGCGCGAAAGCAAAGTAA